CACTATATGCTATTCCCTCTACCGCTCTACCTTCATCTCTCTCTCTCTCATATATATCCCTGACATATATCCAGAACAAAAACATGTTCAAGCATTCCCTTTCTGCGTGGTAGTGTTCTGTGGCTAGCAAAAATCATTTCCTCGCTAAGCTCACGATTATGGCAAACTAGTTGCCGGAAACCGCAGACGACACTCGTCGCTAGTTCTGGCAAAACGGCCGATACAATCTTTTTTTCGCATTTCCCCGCTCGCTGTCAAGGACAAGGGGGTTCGCTTCAACCAGCAAAACATGGCCGCCGACGCCTGTTTACTGAGCAGTCATGCCTGTCGCCATCTCACTCGCTGGGGTCACGGGCGATAATATCAGGCACACAGGGGCACACCAACCGGCAGCATTATCCCCAAATACTCGAGCCTCGCGTAAATACATAGAGTGTAAACGCTGTCGCCACGTTATCGTAGTAAGACCATAGAGTAATCTACACAAGGTAAAGAGCGGACACTCCCATAGGCCCCAGCGGCCCATTTAGCTGGCAGGGAGCGCACCCAACGGCCGTCGTAGTCCCCAACTGAATGAATGGAGTCACAATAAAAATACTTACCGGATGGATAGATATACTGTTTGGCGTAGTGTATTGGGCGGGAGCCTGCGCCATCTGGTTTGCCGCGAGTTATGTTTTTCCTACTATTCCCGCATGGTAAATTTCAGCTGTAATTACTTCACACGTATGTACGATTCCTAATGCGGACAACTAATGGACAATACTATATACACTTAACACTGACTTTACAAGCCAGGAAACCCATGTAGGTTTGTGCTGTCCAGAAGAACACCACCAGGGAGTAATCAACACAGTTTATTTTCGCAACAAAAATATGGTGGTCAGTTTGTGCCTCGTATATAATTACCAAAACTACAAAACATAAGCACCGTGCATCAATGATTCACAAACAATACATCCTACAAAAAAATGACAAGCATATTATGGCATGCATGAAAATCTTATCAAACAACTGGAATTACAATGTTACAACTGCAATTGGATTGCAAGCCTGTTTTGTGTTCTCAAGCATGTTCCATGGAAGGTGCACCACACACATAACATATGCAGCATCAGCAACACATACTAAAAAAAACTGGCCATGCAGTATCAAAGCTCGTTGATCCAATGCAATTTGTATGCAAATAAAACGCTCAGCAGAAGAAATCTGAAATGCACGATGACCACAATGAGAAAAACAGACAAGTAAATGCCTAAACAAGATTGCCACTAGTATAGACCTTCTTAGTCTGTGACATAGTCATTAAATAACCCTAGCACAGCCTGAACTACAGAATTAAAAATACCTTGCTCCTGCTGATTTAAGTAACAATAATGACCAAAATAACAAGAACTGAAAGCCAACCGACGGTCTAATACAGGTTTTACGTTCATGTCACGTTTAAAATGTCACATTTAACATGTAAGGTTTACCATGACCACTACCATAACAAGCGCACATGAAATGGCTGACAAAAGACTGCTAAATCAGACTGGTACCCGGTGCACCTGCGACCCACTCATCACAAATGATTCCACCAAGGCTTGGCATGCAATCTGCACTGCCTAATTAGGTACATCTTACAAGGTGTCTACCCAATGACTTTTCCAAAGTCCATGATTTTTCCAGGTTTCCCTTGACTATTTTGATAAAATTTCCTGGCTGTTCCTTCCTTCGAAGGATGAAATTTCGGGCAATGTTATTCAGCAGAACCGTGACGACACCTGATCGCCGGGCTTCGTTCCGCACCACCGTGCCACTTTTACTCGTCACTTTCCCTGATTTAGCCAACCTTTTGACAGTTTCCCTGATAATTCCCTGACTTTTCCAGGTGATCCAAAATTCCCTGAGCATTTCAGGCTTGCCAGGTTGGTAGAAACCCCTGATCTCAATCTCCTTCACGCTCCACATATGTGTAAAGCAGAAACAGTGTCCGAAAGAAAAGAAAGTTGCATCAGAGATGAGTGACCTAAGACAGTATTAACAAAGATCAATATGGGAACTTACACATTCCACATGACCACAATAGGAAAAAAACAGACATGACCATCTAAAAAGGCAGTCATTACAATAGACCAGTAGAGTGCAACCTACTGACTGCAAATAATCCCAACAAATGGCTAGTGTGCAGTCTGCACGGCCCAATAAAATCCCAATAAAATTAATTTTACTGTTGCAGATATCTTATGAGATGCAACATAAAGGCTGAAACATCATCTTCTACCCACTGAACTTTTCAAGCTGTACACCAGAGACGCGAGAATGGAAGCGAACTTTATCCAAGTTTCTATTTACAAAAGGGACATGCCAGCACAATCGAATTCGGCAAAACATTTTTAAAAACCGTGCACGACACTCTGGAGTGCAAAAATTAAAATCACCAACACGCGAGAGAGTTATGTACAATGTTTCACAAACACTTCGGAGGTGCGCTACACTTTCGATAACAGAAAGATTGACTCGAACTGCTGAACAAGTGTGAAAGCTGCGCTTGATGGCACAGTCAAGTTGCCGAAGAGCTTGCCTAGGACGTGGTACGCTTTCAGCATCATAAAAAACTGATGTGGCTCATCAAGGTTACTGTGCTCATCTCTAAGCAAGTCAGGACAACAACAACCTTCTGCAGCCTTCTCAGTAAACATTTTAACAATGAAGCCAGCAACATAATAAGTAGCAGAGTTGTCAATAACATGGGACTCCTCATGGGCTGCCAACTCAGTGATGTTTTCCAAAGATGGAAAGTCGTCCTGTGGGACATGCTGCACAACATCCACGAGTGACTCGCTACTAAGTGAAAATGGGGACAACTCTTGGAGGAGGTCCGTCTCATACTCCTCGACATTTCCCTTCGGTGACAGTGTGAGGAGCTTCTGAATCCCAATGTGTTTCAGGCCAGATATGAACTGAGGCACATTGGGATTCGAGTTGCATCTCTGTTTTTGTCTTATGTGTCCAAACATCTGTTCAAGTGGGTCTTGTTGAAGTCGACGCGTGAGGAGAAACTCAAAGTCGTAATTCTGGGAAACATCTTCCCACAGCAGCAAGACGGCTTTGATCGTAATTTGCCACCCGATGATAGTGTGTGGCTGACGTTTGCCTTCGAACTTCCAAGACGCAATCCATGGAAGCTGTTTTCCGAGAAATTCAACTAAATCCGGCTGCCCTTCTCGAATAGCATGGCGCAACTTTTGCTCCGTTTTCTTTGGACTGAGCTATTCAAGCAATCAAACAGCTTGTCCATGCGGTCACAAAAATAAGCAGTTGACATGGCTGCTTCAGGCAGCTGTTTCGCATAGACAAGAGCTAAAAGCGCGACGCACACTGAAGCACTCAATACCTGGGTCGCCCGCTTAACCTTCATATTACTGAAAGGTTTCTGGTAGATATGTCTTTCAGTCAACTTTGGCGCCAACCGCAGTCGCATCTCATGTGTGGAGTGGTACAGTTTCACGATATCTGCCCAGTCTACAATCTCATTTTCGATATGAAGCCTGTGGGCCTGCAGGTTGTTCCGAGTTGTTTTCACTAAATGGGGAACGTCGTAAATGAAGTAAACGCGTTCACGTTTTACGAAAAAAAAGGGCTGCGTCACAGAGACACCAAGCTGGTTTGCTAAGCTTACATGGAAGCCCCTTGGTCACAAATTACAGCTTTAACTGTAATTCCAATGTCTTGCGACTGCTCAGTGAGCGAGATCAACAAGTTCCGGATTACGGTAGATGGCGTAGACGTGTGCCCAATTGTATAAGCGACTGGTTGAACCCATCTCCGGGAAACTCCGGAAAGAAAGATAACCAGGGCTCTGTCAGCAATCGTTGAGGTTCGTTCGTAGCCATCATCCGTAAATCCATGAACAACATCTTGTGACACGTCATATGACAAGTTTTTTTTTAACACTATCTCATCGAAGATGAGTGCAGACGCGATCGCGCTTACTCCATGATTGTGTTTCTGTAAAAATGGATGACATAATGCCTGGTATAATTCCAGGTGTCATTTTGACATCCGACAGCCATCTTCTTAGTGTGCGCTGAGTAGGAAGAGTGAGATAACGAGACAAAAAACGGTGTGCCCGCGGCCCACGGAAGTTGAGATGAAGAGAAAACTTTTTCAACCATAACGGGAATCGTTTTCCCTTGCCCTTGGATTTCAATTTAACATGGCTTGACAGTAGGTGAAATACCTCGTCTGTCACGTGAGGGCGAATGATGTTGAGAGCTTCCGCAGCCGATTGAGGCATATTCTTCTCTTGCTTGCGCAGCCTTGCGATGGTCTTCCGGTACTTTGAAACCTTGGCCTGGAGACGCCTTATGATGGCCTTAGGTCTCGGCGCAGAACTGCGCAGAGGAGGCGTAGAAGTACCTGAAACGGATAAAAAATAAAAATAACGAAATCAGAGCAGGTAAGCAGTTCTCGTTATAACCAGCATAGCCAACATTACCTTACAGTGACATAATCTGCAAGTAGATAATATGCCCCTAAACTACAGGCAATTTGAAATCGTGGGAAACTGGGCTATGTTTGCTAAATTTACATATTTCCACTGTATGCCTTGACAATACAGTACGCAAGGTATATTACAGGTTTTGCATGAAAAGCCCATCACCGGAAAAGTAGACAAACTAATACCCACCTTAACATGCATGAATTTTAGTTATAGGAGTAGTAGCATATGGGCACAGGTGAACAAAAGAAATGGGACACATACAAGCTCCAACTGGTTGAGAGGAGGACCATGTGGACGGTGTCACCGGTCGGAAATCCAAGGACGAGCTGCATGAAGGGGCTGTAGCCTCCGTGGAGTCCGCGCCGCACGGTGAGGCTGTCGCTTCCATGGAGTCTGGAAAAATGTGTCTATTAGACCCAGGCTGTTGTTTCCAACACAAGTCCTTCCTCACCATGGGCAGCGGTTGAAGGTTCTTCGGGCCGGAAGCTGGAGGCTGTAGCCTCCATGGGGTCTGCGCCGCACGGTTGGGTTGTCGGTCCCATGGAGTCTGGAAATATTTGTCTATTAGACGCAGGCTGTTGTTTCCAACACAAGTCCTTCCTCACCATGGGCAGCGGTTGAGGGTTCTTCGGGCCGGAAGCTGCAGGCTGCACCGCATGATGGGGCTGAAGCCTCCGTGGGGTCTACGCTGCACGCTGGGGGTGTCACTTCCATGGAGTCTGGAAAACTTTGTCTATTAGACCCAGGCTGTTGTTTCCAACACAAGTCCTTCTTCACCATGGGCAGCGGTTGAAGGTTCTTCGGGCCGGAAGCTGGAGGCTGTAGCCTCCATGGGGTCTGCGCCGCACGGTGGGGTTGTCGGTCCCATGGAGTCTGGAAATATTTGCCTATTAGACGCAGGCTGTTGTTTCCAACACAAGTCCTTCCTCACCATGGGCAATGGTTGAGGGTTCTTCGGGCCGGAAGCTGGAGGCTGCACCGCATGATGGGGCTGAAGCCTCCATGGGGTCTACGCTGCACGCTGGGGGTATCACTTCCATGGAGTCTGGAAAAATTTGTCTATTAGACCCAGGCTGTTGTTTCCAACACAAGTCCTTCCCCACCATGGGCAGCGGTTGAGGGTTCTTTGGGCCGGAAGCTGGAGGCTGCACCGCATGATGGGGCTGAAGCCTCTATGGGGTCTACGCCGCACGGTGGGGGTGTCGCTTCCATAGAGTCTGGAAAAATTTGTCTATTAGACCCAGGCTGTTGTTTCCAACACAAGTCCTTCCTCACTATGGGCAGCGGTTGAGGGTTCTTCGGGCCGGAAGCTGGAGGCTGTAGCCTAAATGGGGTCTGCGCCGCACGGTGGGGTTGTCGCTTCCATGAAGTCTGAAAGAGTTTCGTCTATTATAAGTTAGGTTGTGAAGCCGTAGAAGCAATATTGTGTTTAAATAAAGTTTTACACAAGTAATATACTTTTCGTATATGGATAGTTAAATAAATCTTTACCTTTAGCTCTCTCAGCATCTGAATATGTCGATGGGCGAACTGAAGGCACAGCGGTTTTCATTAGCTTTGTTCGCCCAGGGTCCATGAAGTCACGCGCTGTGAAGTGACTGCTGCAGACGAAATACTTCGCATGCAGCTCACTGGACAATTTTCGCAGAAGGTCGTCTTTTTTGGCATACCTCACCCATGCCCTGGACCCGGAAGATGTAGTGAACTTCATTATTCTTTATTTTTGTTAAAAATAAAATATTTGACCATAAAGGCCCGTTCACACTCTTGCAACCGAGTACGACCGAGAGAAACTTCTTAGGACCAGGCGCGCTGCTGCGCGCCTGGTCCTAAGACCTGGTCCTGGTCTTGTCTCTCGGTCGTACGCGGTTGCAAGAGTGTGAACGGCGCTTAATGGTTTAGATATTGTGGTTTCACATGGAGGTGATAAGCAAACTAATAGTGCTTCAGAAGGTTGTAGTTATTTATTGACTGCACACATACACATTTTTGCTGACTGGTTAAAAGGTGCGCAATGCTATAAAAAGAAGTGCAACTTTTTTGGGAGTTTGGTAGTTTTATACCAGTGCTGACAATGGGCATCAGCTAGTTTTAGTGCCTTGTTCATTTATAGAAACATTAAAAAACTTAATCTCAATAAAAACAAATAAAAAAAACGAGTTGTGCTTTCCTTGCATATCATGTTAATTCAGCACGTAGCAACGAATTTGTAATGCAGTCTGCCTTGCAGAGCTGGGAAGCTAGTCCACCACAATCCGGTTATCATGGAACGGAATGTTTTAAAACTAAATTTAGTACTAACAGAAGTAAAGTTTTGATTAAGTAAGTTTTGATTAAACATTCATCTTCCTCTCCGGTTTTCATTAGAACTATGCGTCCAGTACGTTGTTAAAACGAAGGACAAACTGTCGTCTCGTGGAACTCGGAAGAACTTTGTTCCTGGCTTCTTGCGCGTTCTCCCATTGTTTCCGCACCAGGCTACGCAACACTAGCTGCCGTAGCCAAACATCCTGGCGGCATCAGCTGGGAAACGAAAATAGCACAAGTCAATTTGAGATTACGCGAATTCGGTGCCTTCATTTCATAGCAATTCGGGAACCAAAATTGTTAAAGCGACAACAAAGAGTGGTGATAAAGAAAAGCCTTCACGGTATTGTCACCTTCCATTTCTTTGTATTTTCCTCGTGAGCGCGCTTTGCTTAGGATGGCCTCGCCCTAAGCAAAGCGCGCATGACGGCTACCTGTACCCCCTGCGGTACCTACCCTGCTTCATACATGGCGCCATGTACAACGCTGTCATAGCTGCTGGCGCAAAAGCCACGCGCTCGCGTTACCAGCATTGACAGCGATGCACATGAGGTATGAAATTGAGTATGCCTTGAGTGCCTTAACTGGCGCTCTCGCTGCACGAGCGCACTCGTGCACGTGCAACTGCCGAGGCTTCATCCAGAGCAATTAGCTCGCGCTTTAGCCCGTGCATCCAACTATAGCCAAAAGCAAGCAAAATACGGTGTCAGTAAAACGACTCACCTTTCTAACAACGGAAGAATGTCGAGAAGCCCGCACGAGCCACTCAAGTGCAGCCCAACCGACCTTTCGAGCGACGTGACCGGAAAGCTACCGTCCGCCGAGCCGACGGCCCCAAAGCCATCCACTGAGCCGCAGCCAAAGCCGCAGCTGTCCAAATTGTTTTTAAAAGTATTTGGAACTGCTATTAATTTTGAAATGTTAGGTTATAGAGTGGAGTTATTTATCAAGGGTGAAAATATGATAAATGTCTAAATTAGGTGTGTGACTGCAGTGCCACTGAACAGTCGTCGTAGTCCCTAGCTCGTGGGCCGCGAATCGGCTCGAGTGTCCCCTCTTTTCGTTTACTGTGTTACTCTATGGTAAGACCGCCCCCCCCCCTCCCCCAACGGGGGACTGCAGTACGCGACGGCGTACTAACACAACGGCGACGATATCGACATCGCGGGCTCCGAATTTTCCCATAGTTCTACTCCACGGGCATTTCTCGAAACGATTGATATTGTGTACGCCCGCCTGGAAGGATTTCAGGCGCGTAGTTAAGATAACGCGGTTCTCCGCGGCAAAAGAAAGCAATTTCACAAAAGCTTAAAAGCGGCGGCGACGCGTGTGCGGAGAACGCTTGTAGTTTTGGTGTAGACAGGGTGTGTGTGTTCTCGTTGTTGACACCAGCCGGCGATAAGGCACTGCAGGCGGTAGCTCAGTACAGCAAGGGCTAATCCGAGTGACCATCAACGTAACCCCACCGCCAACCCCTCGCGAACCGGTCGCCGACATGGCTCAGGCTGTGTCATGAACCACGTAGTAGAAGCTCGGGTGCTTTCATATCAGCGCGTGGAGGGACGACAGTGCGATTCCGGAAAGTCTTTTTCGAAGGCCGCTGACCACAATTTTTTGTCTGGAGACTTTCCCTCTTTCTTCCTTTGACGTGGATCAAGCTTTGCCGACAGCCTCAGTTGTGACCTCTCTTTTCAAATGTACGTTTGCAGTGAGTGAGCTCCTCAGCCTCGGACTTGTCACTTGTGCACCTAGTAGTTCTTTCACTTGGCAATTATATGCCATCAGTTGGGGTTTAATTTCTATTATTTATGTATACGATATGAAGACGTCCTGGAGCTCCGAACGAGTGTTTTGTGCAGATTACTTTTGCAAACACAAAAAGATTATACTAAAGCAGCGGAATTTTCGAAGTGTTGGCGAGTTGGATCTAAACTCGTTGAAGCAAATTCTTCCGCCTGACTGTTCCACCAAAGTGAGTGCGACGGACTACCTGTGCTACCATTGCTTCATGCACATCACTAAGGAGATCTCGATGCGAAGCTCAGAGCAGTGCCCTGACATATTTGTGCCAGCTGAAGAAGCAATTGAAGATCTAAATCGCAGCATACTGCCTACAGATGTGTCGCCGCTGAGACAACCAAGCGTCGTAAGAAGTCGGGACAGGCCTGCCTATGTCAAGAGAAAGCAGACAGAACTGGAGCAGGTTGCTGTCAAGAATATGCGCTCAAGGCTACGTATTGCGTACGACAGGGACGCACCATCGGGGTCGTCCGAACCAACATGCTCCACATGCACTGAGTGGGTGGACAACTTTCGGCAGGCCTTTGAAACTGCCACCTCTCTCCGGGAACGTTGTCAACTGCTTACACTCCTGCCGTCAACACTGACGAAGAATGAGGTTCAAAAGATGATTCCACAGGCCTCAATGTACCTCATCAGTAAATCCCGAAAACTCAAGGAAAAGCATGGCGTGTGGTATGAGCCGGATCCTTACACGAGGTGCAAGGTGAGCCCTGAGAACCTGTCTGCTGCCCTAGAGTACTTCACGAAAGACGAGCTACAATGTTCGCGCCAAAGTCCCAACCAGAAGGACGTCATCTCTGTCATGCTCAACGGAGAGAAAACGTTCGTGCCAAAGCGCTTCATGACACGCTCAATACGAGAGGCCTTCCGTATATACAAAGACAAGCATCCCGATTCCGGCGTTGGGCTAACGAAATTTTATTCGTTGCGCCCTAGATGGGTCCAATGTATTCCACACCAGGAAGTGTGCGTTTGAGTGCGCTGCGCCAATTATTATATTTGTATTGCCGCTCTAGAGAACGTTGCAGGCTCAACATTCAACACTGGTGAAATGAACTCGGCATTTCTGTGCGACCCAGCAACAGAACTGTGCCTTCAAGGAGACTGTGATCACTGCCCAAAAGGCCAGTTTCTTACACTCCAGGAACTTGATATCCCGGAGGATGAAGAGATTGTGCTTGCAACATGGGAGTCCGGCGACCTTGTGAAAATAACTTTGGAACCTGAGACTTTCCTAAAAGTCATCCAAGTGACGGTTGGAAGTTGGGTACTTCACAACCATATCCGGCAAACGCAAGGTAAAGCGATCTACGATGAAAAACAGTGCATGCAACGCGGGAGCATTGTCTTTCATTTTGACTTTGCTGAAAACTGGACCATCGTGCTTCCTGACGAAGTGCAAGCATATCACTGGAAAAAAAAACAAGTTTCGATATTTACATGTATAGTGACGACAAGAAAATCTACAAACAGCTTTGCCATCATCAGTGAGGACCTGTGTCACGACGCCCCTCACGCTTGCTTGGCTCTAGAAAAAGTGAAGGAGTGGGTTGAAGACAACGTTGCGGTATACTCGTACGTGACGTACGTAAGTGACGGCGCCGCCAGTCATTTCAAGAATCGCTACCAGCTTCACCAATTTGCAAAGGACGATTGCCCACAAGCCCAGTGGTTATTTTCTGCATCTGGACATGGGAAAAATGCATGTGACGGAGTTGGCGGACTGGTGAAGCACCAGGCCACGCTGAACAACCTGAGAGAACGTTCAGTAAGCGCAATTCAGACGTCCAGGACAATGGTGAGCGTTCTATCAAAGAAACTGAAAGGCGTGCATCTGGACGAAAATGAGGTTGTTCGGTATCGTGAACAAAAAAAAGAAGAGTGGCTGACGGTGCGCGCCTTCCCTGGCATTCAGTCTTGGCACGCGTGGCGGCTCAGCAAGTCATCAACAGAAGGGACCTGTGACGTATATGTGGCACGCACAGTCGGATCTGCTTGGAAGAAACTTTATTAAATGGGTACAGCGAGGAAAACCTTAGCGTAAAGTGCCGAATTTGATTTCCCAAGGACTGCTCATTTTGAATGCAGGGACATAT